ATTTTGTACTTGCACATACATGCACCCAGAGTGTTTTTCTTTTCTTTTTTTCTTTTCTTTTCTTTTTTTTTTATGAGAGTTTTTTGCTATACAGCATGTGCACTCACTAGAAAGACAGAAAGAGAGACAGAAAGTGAGAAAACCCCCCCCGCCGGGTATGGCCACGCTGCAATGCCTTCTCCTCTTGGGATCTTGGGTGCGCATGCACACACGCCCAGTGTGAGTTTAAGCCACTGGGTCCGGGACTCGAACTGAGGTCGACTACATGGGAGTCCATCGACATAGCCATTATGCCAACTGCTGGTCCTTCCCAGTGTGTTTTTAAAGCCACTAGGTCTGGGACTTGAACTGGGCCATGGGAGATCTAGCCACTTTAACCACCACTGCACTGGTTGGGCCCTATATGTTCACTTATTTTTCTTTAAAGTTTACTCATTTATTTCTTCATGAAAGAGAGAGAGAAAAAGAAAAAAGGAAAAGTGCACCTCTAACAGAGTCTTGATACTATAATCCATCCCCCAGCCTCAGCCAGCCCCAGATCATGGGCAAGTCTTTGCCTGGTATCTTCAGGGTAGTCTCTGGATACAAACTCAGAACCTTTCCATGTGGTCCACCTCACAGACCCTTGTGTTTTACTGCTACAGTACCATTGGACCCTGGTATATGTTCACTTATTAATTAAAAAATATGTATCAGGTACCTACTGCATACCAGGTTTTGCATGCCTGGTTCTGCATGCCTGGTTCAGTCCTGAGGAGACAGGGTAAAAAACAAAATGGAAGGGGCCCCTGCCCTAGCCATCAGAGAACAAGCTAAATGGAAATCTTTCATCTAGAGTCTACAAGGATTCATTCAGGAAACTAAAAATATCTGTTATAAACCTGTTGCTACATGCTGCAGTCTTTTCTCTCAGAGCGAGGTCAAGAAAACAGTGGCACCTTCCATGGATTGAGCACTAACAACTTGGACACTATGATTGACATCCCTACTTTGCACATGAGAAAACTGAGACACAGAGAGATTTACCCACCATTTCCCAGCTAAGTTGCAAAGCCAGCATTTCCGTCAGGCATTCTGATTGTAGAACTTGCCTGCTTGAGCACTACATGAGAGACTTTATAGGGGTTTATAGATACCAGGCATTGTCAAGGCTTTTGTACAATTTCTATAGTTTAATCTTCAAAGAAATTATGCCAAAGGGTGATGTTTATTCCCAATTTAGGGATGCAGAAATGGAGGCTCAGGAAAGCTAAGGAACTAGCCCAGGGACAGTGTGGGTATCTAGTTTCAAAATGCTCTCTTTCCTCTTAGGTGGGAAGAAATGTGGGGAGAGAAGAGGGTTGAAGATCTAGCCTTAGAGAGAAAAGAGCCAGTGGTAGAGGGAAGGTTTGGAGGGGGATACAGAAGATGTTTTAGCTGAGGGGTAGAGAGGCAGAGTTGAGGTGTGAAGGAAAGGCCTTGAAGGTGGCATTGGGAGGTTAATGGGGAGAGAATAGTTCTCTGTGGGGCGTTGTGCTCAGAAGCCTGTTTGCAAAGCACCAACCAGGCAGGGAGTACATAGAGGTCCCAATGCCAGGCAGTGATTATTTCCTCAGCAAAAGAGAGAGGGAAGGACAACCTTTGAGAGCAGAGCGTTGAGTCTGTTTTGACAAAGGGGAAGGAGCCCTGACTGGGCTAAGGTAGACTGTGTGGACAGCATGTGTGAGTGCAAGGTTCAGGGGCTATATCCATAGCATGGGAGGAGGAACCCTCTTTTTCTAAGACCAGGAGAAAGGAGGGAAGGTGGGAACATCTACAGAGAACTTTTTAAGCAGAAGAGTGAGGTGATAGGGTGATCTGTGAATCAGGGAGACCCTTCTTTGTCTTTCATACCTCCCTACTGTGATGGGGGATGTCTGAGTTTCCTAGAGCTGCCATAACAAATTACCACAAATTGGGTAGCTTAATAAAACATTGGCTCACAATTCTCTAGGCCAGAAGTCCAAAATCATGGTGTTGGCAGGATCAATTCCTCCTGGAGGCTCTTTTTAAGCTTTTGGTGGTTCTAGCAGTCCTTTGGCTTGTGGATGCATCACTCTGGTCTCTCTGGGTCCAAATTTCTCCCTTCCTATAAGAATACCAGTCATTGATAAAATTAAATAAATAAAGTTAAATAAAAGTAACTCTTCAAAAAAAATAGCAGTCATTGGATTAAGACTCAACCTAACCCTCCATGATCTCATTTTAATTTGACCACATCTGCAGACTCTATTTTCAAAAAAAGGTCCTTGTTACAGGAACTGGGAGTTAAAACTTGATTTTTTTTTTTTTTTTTGGTGGTGTGGGGGTTCAAAGAAGTTGGTGTATGTGAAGATGACCTGAAGAGTATAAAATGCTACAGAAATGCCAGGCCATACCAAGGTCACTGGTTAAAGGAATCTTTTTTGTATTTTTTGGAGAGGTTTTTGCTATAGGGCATGCGTGCTCACCAGAAAGACAGAGAGAGAAAGAAAGCGAGAAATCACCCCCCAGGAGGGATGGTCATGCTGCAATCCCTTCTTCTCCTTTCTCCTCTCGGGATCTTGGGCACGACGCACATGCACCCAGGGTGAGTTTAAGTCACCGGGTCCAGGACTCAAACCTTGATCGATTACATGGGAGTCCAGTGACATAGCCATTACGCCAACTGCTGATCCCTTTGGTTAAAGAAATCTTAAAGTTGAATGTATTTATAAATTAAACTATCTCCTTCAGAATTTGTTTGCATAAAACTCCAGAAAGTGGTCTGCTCCAGGTAGTGTCCATTATTTCCCAGTTCCTAGGAGAAAGTACTCTTCACAAATGAGCTTCCTTACAGTTTCCCAGGAAAGTTTCCAGGAAAGAAAACTACATGCCTGCCATCATCCTTTTAGGGTGGCTGAGAGGCTATCTCCCTCTGCCTGCTTCTGTTGGAACTGGGACTTAACAATGGGTTCTAATCAAAAGTCAAATTAGCCCCTAACTTTTACCTTTATCTACACTTCTACCCTCCTCTTACCATCTAGATTTCTAGTTAGTCCAACCAAGAACAGAGATTCCGGGTGTGTCTTGAAAGGAGGATACCTTTTCCAATGATTTAGGCTCTGTGTTCGCTATAAGGAAAGTGGTAGCTAGGAGGAACCATGTCTCACGGGCATGAAGGGGAGGGGACAGCCAGGGAGTCTGTCTGCAACCTGGCACAATGCAGCGGCAGCCTTCCACTCTCCTCAAACTTGCTTATCAGTGGGAGCTCGGACTACCTGAGCAGGGAGGTATCTCTAGCTGATTTGGTTCCACCATGTCAGAGTCCAGGTTGAGTCATGGAGGCCTTAAAGGATCTGATAAAGCTATGGACTCCAATCTCAGAAAAAGACATAAATGGCCACAAAAGGTTGAGATCATTTCCACCGCTTCACTGACATCTTTTTCTTCATGAAACCAAGGCTCAGGATTCCTGATCAAATCAAATATACGCTTCCCACTCCATTTCTCTTAAAGAGAAAAACAGGTCAGCAAGGGTAGTTTCCACATTGTGCAGCTATTTAGAGGGGAGCCCAAAACTAAAGTGCGAATTCTAGTATCCTTGTTCTAATCACTATATATTTGTTTTCATTAAATAAAAGCCACTTCTCCCCTTAAAGAAGCACAACATACAAAGAGAATGCTTTTGGAGGGAAAAGGGGAAGTGTGGATATGCAAGTGACAGTGTCCCTAGAAAAAAGTACTTGGAGTCTCGATGTTTGTAAACGAGTCAGTCATTCCAACACAGTCGTGGACCTGGGATCCTGCTCAGTACAAATCTTGGAAGGTCCACGGAGGGAGGGAAGCTCACAACCAGAGTTTATGGAGAGCAGAAGCCATTCTTAAGCTTAGAACCGGCTCAGGTCATCAGGAAAGTCAGACAGCCCACAGAGACTAGCTACACCGTGGGGGTGGAGCACCTCTCTGGCCAAAAGGATCACAGACTTTGACGCAGACCCTACCAGTTTCTTCCAGCAACACGTTTTCTCCTATACATAGCAAAACCCCTTTAATTCTGGGGACAAACCCATTTCAAATGGGAGTGAAGGGAAAGATTCTATTAACCAAGTCTTCGTTTGGGGCATCTTACTAGGAAATTCTCTAAGAGCTCCTTGGAGTCAGGAAACTGCTCAGATTCGCGGGTGATCTTAATTTGGAGATGACCAAGTTTAGGGGAACTCCCAACCCCATTTGTCTCCAGGCTGTATTTTGAAGTTCTCAGGTTAGGAGACAGAGGGCTGAACTTGCATGAGGGGTCTCCAACAGCCCGAGGGCTGGCTGTGTGCCTGGCCTAACTCCTGTCCCCCATCGCTGTCTGTGCCTGGGCCTCCGGGGACTCGGCGCG